AAAAACATGATGATGATGAAGAAGAAGACGTGGCACTTAACCTCTTCAAAACTGGATGGAATTTGATCCCTGACTACAACATAGGCTGTTTGCACTTTGTTCTGGTGGTAGACTTTTTTTTTAAAAATGTATTTAGTACAAGGTCTCCAGGGTCTTACTACACAGATCAGACTTGTAGTGTTCCTCCTGTTTTCAAACTCCCAAAGCGCTGGGATTACAGGCGCACACCACCACACCCAGTCTCAATCCCCTTCTCGTGTGCCCTGGGAGCAGGGCCAGTAGGGCTTGTGGTGCCTGGGATTGAACCATAGTTCCTGCGTTCTGCCTAAGCAGGTGCTTTAGTCTGCTGAGCTATCTGGCCGGCCCTTACTGGCTGTAGACTCTTTTGATATTGCAGGGAATTTAAAGATGAAGTAGAAATGAGAAAATTAAAGGAGAGTGGGATGCTATGGCTAAGAGCTTGCTTCAGATGACCAGGTACACTCAGACCTGGAGCCCGTCAGAAAGAAAGCTGACACTGAGAAAAAACCAGGAAAACCATCTTCTTTATGGTAGAGCAAAACAAACACCTATGAACCAACCCAACCGAGAAGATAAGAGACCTCGCTAACAAAAACTGTAGAATTCTGAAGAAAAAGACTGAAGATGGAAAAAAAAAAAAAAGGAAAAGGAAAGACTGAAGAGGCCATTAGGAAATGGAAAGTCATCTCCTCTACCTGGATAGACAGAATCAATATTGTCTAAATGACCATATTATTAAAAATGATATACAGATTTAATACAATTCCTATCAATACCAGCAACAAAACTAGAACTAGAAAAAATAATCCTAAGGTTTATGTAGAACCAGAAGAGAATCGGAATAGTCAAAGCAAAATCAGCAAAGCAGGAGGTATCTTAACTATAAGGTACCCTAACTATAAAGCTATAGTAATAAAAGCAGCACAGAACTGGCACAAAAATAGATGTGTAGACCAGTGGCATAGAATGGAAGCTACAGAGCCCCATCACCTCTAGCTATCTGCTCTTTGACAAAGAAGCTAAAAATATACACTGGAAAAAAGATAGCCTCTTCAACAAAAGGTGCTAAAAACACTGGTTACCCACACGTGGAAGCATGAGATAAGAGCCATCTCTCACCCTGTCCTAGAATCAAATCAAAATGGGTCAGTACGTTTCTAGTTATAGAAACAAAATCACTGAACCTGCTGGAAGATAAAACAGGGAAAACACTTGAAGACTTGGGCACAGGCAAGGATTTCCTGGACACGACTCTCAAGGCGTAAGAAATAATACTAACAATCAGCCAAGGGGAGGATAGTAAATTCAAAAGCTTCCGCTCAGCAAAGGAACAAGGGCGTACAATGACAGAATACAGAAGGGGAGAAGACTTTTGCCAGCTACTCTTCTGATAGAGACCTAGTATGTGATATACGTGAATATATAAAGAACGAAGAGCATTAAAGCCCCCAACAAATGATCCAGCCCAAAATATGGGCAAATAAAATGCACAGACCTTTCTCAAAAGACAAAAATGCAAACGGCTAGTAGGTACATGAAGAATGCTCAGCGTCTTTAGTCACTGGGATGTGCAAAGCAAACAACACTGAGATCCCACCTTACTCCAGGAGAACAGCTGTTATTGACGACTCAAAAAACAATCCATGCTGGCAGGGTTGTGGAGGATAAATGAATCCTGCTGCATGGCTGATAGAAATTTAACTTAGTGTAATCACTATAAAAATCAGCTTGGGAAGTTCTAAAACAAACAAACAAACAAACAAACAAACAAAGGAAAACAAAAAACTAAGAATAGAAATTGTACTGACCCAGCCGGCCAAATAGCTCAGTGGATTAAAGTACCTGCAAGCAGACGCAGGGCCTGGGGGTTCGATGGTTCCACCTCCAGTCCTGCTGTGCCAGCCCCGCTCCCGGGGCATGCTGAGTCGGCAATTGAGACTGGGTGTGGTGGCAGTACCTGTCATCCCAGCGCTTGGGAGGCTGTAAACAGACAGATCACTAGAGTCCGGTCCAGCAGTGAGACCCTGAACTCACTGAAGACCCTTCCCTAAAATATAAAAATAAACAAATGAAATTGTGCTGACCCAGCTACACCTTTCTCTTGGGTGTTTTTCCCCCCAAAAAACATCCTGTTACAATGATACTTACACAGCTGTGCTCACAGTGGCATAAATCGCATCACGCAAACTGTGAAAGCCGCCTAGACATTCGTCAAGAAGGAAATGTGGTGTGATACGCCATGACGTATGATTCAATGAAAAGTTGACACCGAGTTTCATTCACACAGTGAGCCTCAGGAATAGTGAGGCTGAGCACCTGCTAAGTGCCAGGCACTGTGCTGAGTGCCGCCCACGGCCACTGTCTCACCTCCGTCTAGTGACCCGAGGGGGCATACTCTTTCTGTCTCCTGGCTCAGCGCCAAGGGACACTGTCCATCCTGTAGCAGCTGTCGAACTGCAAAGTGGGTGTGGTCATCCTGGCTACTTTACCTGATGCTCCTATTTCAGCAAAGGAAAGACAAATGTCTCGCGTGGTTTCCCAAGTGCCGTTGATTTCACTTCCACTGTACCTGTTTTACTGCAGATCACCAACAACCAGACTGGACAGACGGTCTTTTCAGAGATGGTTATTACGTCTGTAGGAGATGAAGAGGACCGAAGGAACCACGTAAGTTGGCATCTCCTGTGCCTCTGTGTAGCCTGCCCTGGCAGCCCGCACTGTAGGTCAAGGGGAAAGGAGCTGCCTCTGCTCTGCTTCCACCTCCTTTCTGCCATGACACCCCATCCTTATTTTCTGAGCAGACCACAGAGTCCAGTAGCACACTATGTACAGCATCAGGACACCAGAGAGCTTAAATTCTGTTGTTTGCATCTCAGCTGTGAAAGGAGAGCCAGCAGGCAAGTACACTGACTGGGGACCCTGGAAAAGGACCCAGTGCACCAGAGAGTCAAACCCGCAGAGAGTCTGGGGTGGCCCGTGCTTTACATAATCTGAGTCCTGGCCAGGCAGCCTGAGGGCAAGATGTGTTAAGTGACCTAAAGGGACAAAGGCTGCCTGTAGTTTCAGGCTTTGGGTTCTGGTCCTTCTGTGACTTCTCCTGAGTTGTCTCTTGCTTAGGCCAAAGGTGGAATGGATTTTGTCAAATTCTAAAGGCTGAAAGTTGCAAAGGGTAAGAAAGAAAACCTTCTAGGGATGACCCAGTAAGAGTCACTGATCTGATCTCCCGGTCAAAGGAGGCTAGGTGACACTTCATCTTCTCAGAGAGACTGCTGGCTGTGACCTAGACATGCTCAGCAGTAATGGATTTTCCAGGACCCAGCTTCTCTGTCCCTGGGTGCTTTGTACAACCCCCTGGCCAAGTGCATCAGCTTTGAGCCTTCCTCTGGGCCTTATTGCTGGAAGAAAACAATGTACTGCTATTCATTAAGAAAATGATGTTGTCTTGTTTGGAAGGTGGAAATTTTGTACTTGTTCTGGCACAGTGCTTAAATGTTGGGAGCTGGCTGACACGTTCTGCAGGCTGGTAGTCCTGTGGGCTGTGTGAGCGTGGAGGGACGGGGGCTTGAGTGGGCGCGGACACAGTGCACTGAACTGGACAGGACACTGGCTCTGGAGGACGGAAACAAAACACCTACAGGCAGGGGCCATCTTGGTTTCTCCATCTTCATGTGAAGAAATGATGAAGTAACAACGTCACTGCATCCTAGCCAGGGAAGTACAGGGGCCTGTGAGGCAGAGGAGGGTTAACTGAGGGGAGGAAGAGGAAACTGGCTGCCACAGGATGCAGTCCTGATAGAAGCTGGAGGGCTCCCAGAGGAAAGCCTGCAGCGTCCCCCAGAGGGCCATCTGCACGGGGGTCCTGTGTTCGCTAGGTAGAGGGGGACACCCCTCTGTATGACAGTCTAGGGAGAGGCTGGAGCAGATGGGTCGATACAGGACACCCAGAGGCAGGCAGGCAGAAGTGTTTGGTGGTTTCTGCCGAAGCCCTGAGGATATCGGGTCAGTGCAGGTTCCTGTGGGAGTAGAGGTCCATTTGATTGACTGCAAGGCAGATCTGGGAAGCTGACGATGGACTGGTTGGTGTCTGGCAAATGCCTCAGGCCTTAGGGAACAGACTGGAGATTTGTCAAGCTTCCTGTGAGGGGATGGCAGTGTGGTCGAGCTGGCTCCAGCACTTCAGTGAAAACTTGTACTCTTTGTCCAGAGGCCGGAATAGAATCAGGGGGACAAGATGGGGTTTCCAGTGCACCCCGCAGCCTCCACCCCACCTCCTGGCCCCGACACAGTTGCACCAGGGCTCCACTGCTGTCCTCACTGAGGCACGGACCTCTTTTTTCTGAGCCAGAAAACCAGATTGCTTTTAGAGAAATGAAGAGGGTCCTGCATTGTCGCCGTGGACCCCCTGCTTGGTTTTGTAACTTAATGATCTTTACAGTTGGTTCTGAACTGTACTTCATGCTACTGAAATCATTTCTTAAGAAAAAGGAGGCAGATTTGTCATTCCAAAGGACAACATCGTACGCTGTTTGAACCTCTAATTACCATGAACAGGGGCTAAATTTTCAGGATTTGAAGCTCCCAGGTGCATTCAATTAAAAATAACCACCAAGCACCTCATATTTTTTTCTTTCCTTACACACCAGTGTGTGTACTAACACTTACGGTAACTTGATCAGGCTCTCGGGGAGTTCCAGGCAGGAGCTCTACATGCCTGTCTAGGCATTTGCAGACTCTGCAAAGCCCTGTCTGTTTCCACGCTCAGGGGCAGGGTGGGAAGGATGGGCTGCCTTGTTATTTCACCTGAATGCCTCGGCAACGCCAATGTGGGCTGATGTGCAGGCAGGGGGCTTTTGTGCTGAGCTCAGCAGCTTCACGGGCCAGTGGGTAAACTGGCCAGTGTCAGGCTGCTTTTGTGCAGGAGGATTAGGAGAAAGTGACATGTTGAAAGCTGGAGTAGACGAGCCGTTGTGCGTGGACGTGCTTTTATTGATGGAAGAGCCTGGCTCAGTTAGCCAAGGCACCGTTTTTGAAAGGATGCAACCTCTAGTTGAAATGCAGCTTGCAGCTTGTTGCCTTTCTGGTTTTACCTTCTAAACTGATAGAATGGAATGAGTGTTTGCTTTTCTACCTAGACACGCCTAGTTTCAACTGCAGGCTCACTCATGCACCACCAGCTCCAAAATACTGCTCAATTTCTGAGGCTACAGACAGACAAATTCACTACCAGAAGCACCCAGGCAGTAGAGTTGGAGCGACTCAGCGATTGCCCAACTCCACAGAACGGACCCCCACCCCAGCTCCTTTTTTGCCTGGAGACAGTGAACCAAGTGCGATGACCTTTCTCTCTTTCCTGCCTCAAGTTCTTCCCTGCCCCAACTTGCTCCAGCACCAGAGGAAGGGCAGGTTGTTTCCTCCTGGGCCCTGTTGAATTCACAGAATATCACAGGACACCTTGTTGTCCAAGCCCTGGGGTTACTTTCTAGGGAGACTAAGTGCTTCCCCTGAGGTAGAATGGAGGAGGAAGGACAAGGTGTGAGGTGGGCTGGGTTTGAGTCAGGCCTCAGCCCTTACAAGCTCTGCCCATGGTGACCCCATTTCTTTATGGGTCATTTGGGGGTGATAATCTTCCTTTCATGAGACTGAGTCAGTGTCCAGTGTGGTGCAGTTTACAAAAGCTCTTTGTCTGAAGCTCATTATTATTAAAAAATAATTAACACTGTGCTCTAATTGGCTTGTCCCCTGCTTCCCAGGAAATCACTACAAAAACAGTGGACTGAGTCTAGAGGCAGAGGAGGTGTGGGAAGCCTTTCCCCTGACGCTGCAGTCCTGGGCTAGTTTCCTTCAGCGGCCTGGAGTTGGGTCCTTGATTTCTCAAGATAATTTTCTTGTGGCTGGAGTGCTGCTCTGAGCCACAGGACTGGTTCCTCCGGGCGCTGCCCCTCCCCGGAGTGTGCCCCGAGAGCCTGGAGTGGGTGCTGGGATGAAGGACGGGCAAAGATGGAGAGGCTGACAGGGACAGGCCTCAAGGTCATGGCTGAGGACTCAAGGTGGCAGTGTGGGTACTGGCTGCCACAGAAGAGCACCAAGGTGCTGTTCTAGGGTTGACGGCATCACACCAGCATCCAGATCCAGGAAGAATGTGGCTGTGTTTGTGTGTCTGGATTCAGACTTCGAGTTAACACTGTGATTTCTAGTCACAGATAGAAAGCCCTTATGCTTTAATCCAGTAGAAAGAGTGACAGGGAAAGCTAAGTCATTGCATCATTCTGGGAGATGCGTAAGGAATCCTTCAGGAAGTAGTTAATGTGGGCGAGCAGTTTTTATGGGGTAGAGATTTCTGTTTGAGCTGTAACCTGGGATTTAAGTTATTATCCTCTACTGAGATACCCTTTGAGAAGGAGCTCATTAAATATAAATGATTCCATATCCAAATCATACCATGGAGCTCATATATGAGTTTCATGGGCCGGGGATATAGCTCAGTGGCATAAATACCTGCCTGGCAAGTGCAAGGGCCTGAATTTGATCTCTGGTACTGCAAAAAAAAAAACAAAACAAAACAAAAAAAAAACACCTAATACATTTGATATGAGTTTCATGTAAGTTGGTATTAAAGGTTATCTTTGATAAAATATTAGCATAGAAAAGCAAGTTCGGAGCAGTATATATAATATATACATTATATAAAAATAAAAACATCTCCTTTTTATGAAAAGATGCATTAAAACTATGACAACTACACATTAAATTATTAATAATCGAAATCTGTGGAGGAATTTAAATTTGGTGGGGCTTTTCCTTTATAGATTTCTATATTTTAAAAATACTTTTTAAAAGACCCTGTAAATTATTTATAATTTTGGCAGAACTATCTGTCTGTAGTTTTTGATTTTGCAAGTGTTTTCATTGTGTCAGTGCTAGAAAGCAATTTGCCGAGCCACAGGATGAGGCCACCTAACACCCGAGAGATCCTCTGAATTTTCCTCGAGAAGGTCGCGCTCATTTTCCTCTTCACAGCCCTTTCTGTGGCTGCTGTCACCGTGCCTGACCCACAGTGGGGACCACAGTGGCTGATCACCTGGGGGGGCCAGGAAAGAGGACGACTTCTTTGTGCTTCTGCACTGTTGATTATGAGCCAGCCAAAGGCCGTGATGGCTGTTTGAAAACTGTAAGTTGTAGCAAACATACAGGACTCCTCAAGTTGATCTCAACCCTCACTTTGTCCAGGAGAAAGGTCATTTTGCATTCCAGGCTATTCCCAGGGCCAAATACCATCTGCTCCAGTGCGGGGGCAGATAGGGAGGTGGGGGGACCTTGGAGACTAGCGGTGGGGTCTGTGTGCGCTGACCACCAAGTCATGCACAGGAGTGGGTGATGGAGACCTACATGTGATTGCTTCTGTCCCTGCAAATTATAAAAAAGGCAGACACTCCCTTCTTCCCTTTTTTCTTCTCTCCTTTGCACAGACACCCTGAGATGGCGTATGCCTGCCTCTGGCAGAAAGGGCACTTCAGCGAGCTAGCAAGGAGCCGGGCACAGGCAGAGCCCTTCAAATGGCGTACCTGCTGTATATTGGCTGTGTGATTTTGGTTACACTTTTGTGTAGTTCGCTTTGTCCCCTGTGATGAAATGCTCATGAAAATCAACCTGAAAAAGGAGAGATTTAT